CTCTCTCTGTGTGTGTGTGTGTGTGTCTTCTTCGTCGTTGTCTTCTGTGCAGGTACGCGTCACCTTCTTCCGCAGCGGAGCTATGGCGGACTTCTTCTTCACGGTGGCGCTCTTCAACTATGGCGCCCTATGGCGCGGGTCTCTCTCCTGCTGCAACGGCGATGGCGCATGGGACAGCGGGTACCAGCTCCGATACCAGTGCAATCAGACTCACTTTCATTCACACTTCACATGCATGCAAACAGGTTGCGCAGCAAACTGGCGTCAAGCGCCCACTCAGAACTCAAAGATATAGTACCAAGAACGCAGCTCAGATATAAGTTCACTTCAAACGGCTATGGCGGCACATCGCCTGTACAACTCTCTGTTCGTCACTTACTCATCACTGCTGTTCGCACACAGGATCACCCTGGATATCCCACACGCAACACCCTGTACACTCGTACACACCCGCATACACCTACTGCTATGGCGGCTATGGCCGCTGCTACTCTATCGCTATGGCGAACTTTCTTCTCGCCCACTTCGTCCTCAGACTCGCTTTCATTCACACTTCACATGCATGCAAACAGGTTGCGCAGCAAACTGGCGTCAAGCGCCCACTCAGAACTCAGAGATAATAGTACCAAGAACGCAGCTCAGATACAAGTTCACTTCAAACGGCTATGGCGGCACATCGCCTGTACAACTCTCTGTTCGTCACTTACTCATCACTGCTGTTGGCACAGGATCACCCTGGATATCCCACATGTAACACCCTGTACACTCGTACACACCCGCATACACCTACTGCTATGGCGGCTATGGCGGCTATGGCCGCTGCTACTCTATCGCTATGGCTAACTTCCTTCTTGCCCACTTCGTCCTCGGGCTCACTGCAAACCGCCTCGCGCAAGTCGCTATGGCAGCGCTTCCGCATGGCTTACGCAGCAATCAATGAATGGCTGGGCGCTGCCTCTTGATTAATACTTCTGTAACTCGTTGGTCTGCCCCTTTCCATCGGCCCATGGTGCACACAGTCCCTCATGGGACTGACTGGACTGGGACTGACTGGACCGGTACTGCTGACTGCATGGGTTTGCACTGCCAACTCAATGCAGTCGCACTGCCGACGTAATGCAGCTGGGCTCACCACTTGCCCACTTGCCTCTGACTAAACGTGAGGCAACTTCGAAAGGCCACTTCCGGACCTTCCGGAAGTCTGTGGACTTGGCCTTTCGAGTACTGTAGCAGCTACGACCTTGACCTTTCAGGACTGTAGCAGCTACGACCTTGACCTTTCAGGATTCCTACAGCTACGACCTCTACAGGGCTGTGACTCCTGCTTGACAGATCTACAGATCGAACCCTTACCACTACACAGACCTACGATGGTCAACAACAACTGTCAAAACACAGGTCACAGGTTCAAACACTCGGGTCGACACAGATACTGTACACAGGTAAGGTGAGAACTAGGGATCGAGCCCTGGGATCTGCATTTGCTACTGCTAACCGGTGAAAACCGTTTCAGATTAGCCAGCAATGTATGGAAATCTGACAGCATGACAACAGGGCAAGCTGATAGGGCACATCTAGTCCATTGTCCAACTCTTTTCATTTGTCTGAAATTGTCTCAGATAAAAAGGTTCATAGTCAATCCCCAGGGTAACGCCAAAGGAAATTAATGTCGACATTTTTCATTTGATGCTTCTATCTTTTGTCAATCGGCCAACTCCTAACTTTCATAACGGACACTAGGCCCGTTTCCCAGCATGTCCTGCTCCCCATGAATAGATAGGAGCTGTGTTTTTATGACTTTTTCAAAAAAAAAAAAAAAAAAAAAAAAAAACTCAGATGGGAACTGGTGAAAAACAAAAGGATTTCAAGAAAAAACAGAGAATTGCTACAAGATGTAAGTATGAAGTTACAAACCTTGAGGATTCGCGCAGACATCTTGCGTGAGGTTTCCTTCTGGTCAATGAGCCGGTTGAAGAGCAGGGGAAGGATTCTCTCCAAGTATGCCTGCCACATTCAAGAAAACTGCCTTCGAATCAGCAAGCTCATTAGTCATACTGCTTTTTACCTACCTGGCACCGTTTCCCTCCTTTCTGTGAACAATTCACAGCCACTTTGGTTTGCGATCCTCGCATTCATTGGATAAATAGGATGCCAAAGTGTCTATTCATTGAATATAATGAATACCAATCAGCTATCTGGGTTCTAAGAATTTGCTGTGCAAAAGTGCTAACAAAGGCCCATGCATAACCCTGTCCACCAAGCGTTGGACCTTAGTTTAAGCTTTTGATCCTTACGTTCATTGAATAAATGGGATGCCAAAGGGCCTACCAATTGCATCTAATGAATACCAATCATCTATCTAACTTAGCTTGAGCACTAAGAACGTGTTGTGCGAAATTGCTAAGAAATTTCCAATCTCACCCACGGAGTGTTTGACCTTAGCTTCTCTCATGTCCAGATTGAGAAGGACATATAACTTATCAAAGAAGTGTGCGGTAGTCTTCAACTAATAACTAGGATGCTTCAGTGTCAGTGCACTGAATCCAATGAATACCAATCACCTGTCTAACTTACAAGCACTAAGAACGTGTTCTGCAAACTTGCTAAAAAAGTTCGAATCTCATCCACGGAGTGTTTGACCTTAGCTTCTCTCATGTCCACATTGAGGAGGACGTATATGTGCGGTAGTCTTCAACAAGACTATCTTGAAGTAGCTGCTTTTGCTCATTTTCGCTCAGTTCTTGATGCTGCCACTCAGTACACTAGATCATGGCATGAGACAAACAGAAGTGTTGGGGGTTGACTTCGGGGCAGGGGAAGGACATCGAGCCTTGGTTGAGGAAGACTAGAGCCAAGACACTGAGAAGGTAATCTACTTGGGCTCAGTTGACTTTGGGACAGTGGAAGACGAAGCCCGAGACTCAACATGAATCACCCCAAAAGATCAGCACTGGATCCAGGCACATGTTATGCCGAACTATCGAAAGGAAATACTAGACTTCTATTTTCGTTTTCCTTTATAAATCTACAATTTATTAAGAATCCGGAGGTGACCCTGTATTGGAACTTTTATTTATGAACCTCATTATGCCTTTTTGAGATTTACACCTCCCCCTCCTCCCACCCTGCCCCTCCTGCCTTCTCTTTCCTGCCAGGCAGGATAGACTGATTCGGCTGGATGGCTGCCCGAAGTGTATAGCCTGACATCCCAAAAAGCCGAAGGGGCCCGGATGCACGGGCTGGTAGCGTAGCCACAGACTGAGTGGTCACCTGTTCTTGTCCACAACTTAAATCCCCCTTGCCCGAGACTGGCATATAGAAGAAGGATCAGCCGCTGTGCTGCCAAACAGCCCACAACAGCAAGGACCTATGCGATTGAAACCATCTACAAGTCATCCAAGTGTGTAATACAAAGCAAGAACAGAACAATGGACAAACTCAAGAGCATGAGATTAGCACCAGATCAACATTGTGGCAATGAGTTGATGCCGCACTAACACAAACAAGACAAGATGGAAGGCAGAGGCAACAAACAAAAGAAAGCCATGACGAGACCAAAATGCCTGCACCACAACTCAGGTGGTGGAAGCGAATACGCCGTACCGGTGAGCGCTACTGCTGCGGAGCGCAATCCTTGACGGCCCTCGGTGGAAATCCCGCCGTGAGTGTGTGCGGTCATACGGCCGTGCCAACACGCGCGACTTTCGAATTCGAAAGCTCGCACAACTGGGATAGGATTTCGTCTTGCCTACGTGGCCTAGACTGCCACGCCAGGGGGCGCGGCACCTCAAATCAGCAGGGGAAGGGAAGGAGGCATTGGGAGGGAGACGAAAGGCGAGGGGGAGAGGATTGACGGAAAAGGGGATGCAAGCACGCTGAGGGCGTGCGTGCCCGGGCAAGACACAAGGCAGTGTCAACGCAGGAGGTTTGCAAACTCGAGACTCACATATCAAAGGTGGTTTTTTCGTACCGCCATGTGATCGGGTTCGTTGCGCCATACGGAGTGATAACTCAAACCAGCAGAGGAAGAGAAGGGGGTGAGTGCGTGTGTGCCCAGGCAAGACTCAAGGCAGTGTCAACGCAGGTGGTTTGCAAACTCGAGGCACACATATCGAAGGTGGTTTTTCGCACCGCCATGTGATCGGGTAGCGATAACTCAAACCAGCAGACGATGAGAAGGGGGAGAGGGTTGTAGGAAAAGGGAGGAAAAAGGAAGAAAGCGGCGGAACAGGTGGGCAGGTAAGCAGTGAAGAAGACGGTACAAGAAAGGCACGACAAGGTATTGTAAGCCAACCAAGTAAGTGAGGTAAGATCTCTTTCCATCAGAAAAGATCGTGAAGCTGGATGAAGACGAAGAGAAAGGGCAAACCCATTCGACGGGTGAATCGGCATGCATGAAGAAGTTGCCATTGGAGAAAGGCTGAGCTCTGATTTGTCCCATAGAGAAAAAAGTGAAGGGAAGGACAAAGCTGCTGTTTCTTCTGAGTAGCAAATAGGGACAGAAGCATCAGTATCGAGGGGGGGTAGAGTGGATTTTCGTTTTTTTTAATCCCTTTTGTATGGTTTAGTAGGGAATGAGATAGTCTCAAGCGTTAACATTCCAAGAAGTACGAAGGTGCCTTCCACCCTCGGCTTCCAAGCTCAAAAGTGCCCTGAATTGCTGTCTCGTAAGGTTCGCGATCCTTCCCTCCTGCTTTGCCTCCCGGTTGCTTCATCCTTTCACGATTCCTTCTTCCCACCGAGATCTCATCCGCCATCTTCTTGCCTACCCGTCCATGCGATCAACCATTCTTCCCATCAAGAACCCACCCGCCACTCGGCTGTTCGCCTACCCAGTCATGCTATTAATCAACACCCCGTCCTTTCTCGTTTTCTTCTCGTTTTCTTCTCCCCTCCAAGTTCCCTCCCGCCACCAGGATTCTAGATTACCCAACCACACGAACAATCATTCCTCCCTCCAAAATCCTAGGTTCACGACCCTTCCCCCCTGATTTTTCTCCCTGTGACATCATTCTTTAGCGTTTTGTTTCTCCCCATCGAGATAACACCCCCCATCTTTCCCCCACCCATCAATACGATCAACCATTCTTCCCATCATAAACTCACCTGCCACTCGACTGTTCGACTACCTAGCCACGCTATCAATTAACTGCCCTTCCTTCCTCGTTTTTTTTTTTTTCCCCCCCACCGGCATCCCTCCCGACAACTGGCTTCTACACTACCCAGCCACGCAAACAACCAGTCTTCCGTCCAAGAGCCCACCCGCTGGTTCGCCTACCCAGCCACGTTATCAATCAACACCCCGATTACTCTCCTCCACCCAGCCACAATATTAATCAACATCCCATCTGTTCTCGTATTCTTCTCCCCACCGAGTCCCCAGCCACGATATCAGTCAACGACCCATCACTCTCCCCCAGCTGATTGCCTACCCAGCCAAGTTACCAATCAACTCCCCGTTGGTTTCCCCCGTCTCCAACCATTGTTCTACCATTATCCCACCCGCCACCTGGCTGTTTGCTTACACGGACACGCTATCAATCATCAACCCATTGCTCTCCCCTGGCTGTTTGCCTACCCAACCACGTTATCAATCAACACCCCGCTGCTCTCCCCCGTCTCCAGCCCTTGCTTTACCCTTTCCCTCCAACGATCTAGGGCATATTCCTACTCGTGACTTCTCCTCATCATTCCGCAAGGTTAGCATCCCTCCCCCACCTTCTCCCCGTTCCATCCTTCACGATAACCAACACCCCCATCACTCTCCCCCTTCCCCGGCCCTTACAGTCTTATACCCGCCCGCATCCACTGCTCTTTCAGGGATCACTCCATCACGTATATGCTCGCCTATTAGGGGACAGGTCGAGGATTCTTGAGATTAGAAGGGGGCAAGAAGAAGGAACCGAGTAACTGACTGATCAAATAGTTTTGACAAGGAATGAGTCAGGAGTTGGTGCTAAACCAGACCGAAGAAAGGTTGATATAGGATCCTAACAACCGAAGTACACATTATTATTATTCTTATAATTATTTATTAGTGAGTTGTTGACAGCAAACAATGGCGGACTCCTACTGCAAGGTTGCGCGCAGGGGGATGGAAAAGAAGGATAAATCATCCGCAGACTCGCCACCAAGACCTTCTCCCAAGGCCTCCCAGAACTCGACCACCCCACATCATACATCATCTGAGGGAACTATGGGAATTCAAATCTCCAACGCAACACCAAGAACCTTGGGTCAGAGAGCGATCAATTTTTTGATGAGCAAAACAGAAATAAAAGCAGAGACTATCAAAACAAAAGAAGTCATCAAATATAATGAGGGAGAAGAGGTGGAAGTTGAAATTTGGGAATACCCAAAATATCAATTGCAAGCACTTAAGGAGTTATATGAGAAGCATGCGGTACTCTTCAACTTCACAAACAAAAAACAGGGATCTTCCATTGAACGAGAAGAGGAAGTGGGTCATGGAACGGCTGAAGGAATTGGAAAGCATACCGGGAACAGAAACGGAAGTCTCATACCACAAGAGGGGAAGATACACAGTAATGGTTTTGTGCATTGACCCAATGTATGCTCAATTTCTAGTGTCCTTAGGTGCGTTGAAATGCAGGGGTTCAGTGGTCACGATCCAACCATGGAAACCGCCCAGGGAGCCCCAAACGGATGCATCCAGGCATCGTCAGACGATGCTGAGAAACCATTTCTGGGTACAATTTGACAATCTATCTGAGGGACTGCACAGTTTTGTGCAGAAAAGACTCCAGGAAGAGTTTCCCAACAACCCAATTATTGATTGGCTGCCAGCAAACCCAGAATTCATGGTGCCAAACCATGATGCGAGTGGCTTGTCGGGCACTCCCCTGAGATTTCCAGATGTTTGGATTTTCAGGAAAAATGGGCAAAAATTAAATGTCTTCATTTCTACGAAAACAAATCCTTTCTGCTTTAAATGCAGAAACAAGGGACATCTGGGCATGCACTGCCCCCTAGCCGGGGAGACAGGAAGGGAAGTTACTCTCAAACAGTCAATGCTGGTTGAATGTGATGCAAGGCCAGGGGTGTGGTATATCAATGATGCATGATACAAAGGCTGGGAATTTGACGATAATCTGGAAAACCCCAAATGGGTGTGGGTACTCCAAGGGGATCCCAAGCTAAAACCAAATATTTACGCACCCTATGACAGCAGATGGAGGGCAGCAGGCGCCAAGAGAATGGAAGACAAAAACACAGACTACCTAAAGCAGGAAGTTATCAGGGAAGCAAGTTTATTGGACGAAAAACAAAGGTTGGAAACAATGAATGAGCTGCATACAATCGGACAGAATGCAGAAAGGGCGTTTATTGAGAATCAACGAGCCAGAGTGTCACAGGAAAAAGTCCAGGGCTCTACCGGCTCAACCCTGAGGTCATCTTCCACTTCACGAGTGAAGGGAACAAGAACAGTGTGCAAATGGACAGGTCCTTGAAACGGAAATCAGATGATGTCGTTAACAACTCGTGTTCAATGGACTCAATTAGGGGAAGGCAAAGATCAGTGGGATTGGCTAATGCGCTGTCAACAGACAACGGCATGAGAGTGAGCGGGTACAGTAGAACAGGAATGGAAGGGGATTCCTCGCAAGGGACAGGAAAGGATGTCAACGCTCTCGGATCAAGCCACTCTTCACAGCCAACCGGCCCCAGTGAAAATCAGTCCCCAGTGGATACCTCACAGGAGACAGGGAAGGATGTGATCTCACCAGGATCAAGCCGCTCTTCACAGTCAGTTGGTCCCAAAGAAGGTGATTACAGGAGAACAGAAGAAGAGGAATCTGATGGAGAGTCTGACGATGATACTATGCAAGACTCGAAGGATGAGAGCCCAACAGAAGAGGATGAGGATATGGGGGATGAGGATGATGAGCAGGGGCAAAGTATGGACTCGCTTCACTACATACTGCAATATGTCCGTTCCTTAGAATTGGACAGAACAGTGGAACTAGAAGTGAGACTCGCACATCACAAGTACCTTCGCAATCTCAGGTCAGCAACAAAGGTGGAGGACAGCATAAGCATGGAGAATAGATTTGAAATCATTAGGAAGGAAAAAGAGCTCAATGAATTTTATGCAGCACAATACAGTATGAAGGCAAGAACCGAGAAGAACAAAATCACAAAAAGCTATGAACAAAAGTTCTCTTGGCCTAAAACGTACGTGGAACAGCGAGCAGAAAGAATGGAGAAGAGGAATAAGAGGGATAAGGAACAAGGAACCGCAGGTGAATCGCTTCACGAAACTTCCATTTCAACAAAAGAGTCGTCGGAAGAAGACCTCAGAAGGCATGCTGCAATTTTGGAAGCTCAAGTGAACGTATTGAGGGATCAAAACAGGGAGATGGACGATCTGTGCATAACCCTGAAGGATGTAGCAGGGGGAGGCCACAAGGAAATAGAAGCAGCGGCCAGACTCGATGCAGGCAGCGAATCTAGACGAAGAACGATAATCCCGTACCGATGGAACATCAAACTTGAAACATGGGAAGTAGCCTATCATGGATCCAACTCGCTGATCTCAGTACCAGACCAGGATTGCACACAGGATGCCTTGCGTGATTTCATATCGGACAGCATGCCTACACATCTGAGAATTTTGGGGTCCAAAGCAGAGGGTATGGAGGAATGGAGGGACCAAGAGAATGAAGTTCAGAGGGTGGACCTGCGTCCCTTACTGGTAGAATTAGAGGAGTCGGCTGACCTCAAGGGAGATTTCTGTTGGGTACCTTGGTTAGCGGTGGAATCCATGCCTTATGGACTGTTAGGAGGAGAAATGGTGGCGGAGAGGGCTGCCTTGAGCAGTGCACTGGTTACAGCATATGGACTGTTCACACTATCACCCAAGAGCCTCAGGAAGAAGCTGTACAGCTCCACCTCAACTAAGATGGAGATAGCAACCACTGGATCCTAGACACCTTTCTCTCAGTCCATTCAGTGGGGGGAAGAAGTGATCGATTATAATGGTGGATCAGGAAGGCGAAAGGGGTGGATTCCGGGCGAGCAGAAAATTCAGCCTTCGCAAGCCTGATCCGGACCTTACAATCATTTCATGGAACGTCAATGGGTTGTCCTCTATACTTACCAAACAGAGGAAATGGGATTATCTAATCAAGGGCACAAAATGGTTTGGGCTTTCTCCTCCTGACTTGCTATGTATTCAGGAGACACACCTAACTGTTTCAGAGGACCACCGAAGGACTCAAGCACTTATACTAAGAAAGCTGAAATGGGTTAAGGAAGTAATTCGGGCTCTGTCACCGAGGCCCAATTCGACAGGAGTGGCCATACTCATACATGCTAGATCAAGAGCATCAAACACGTTCATTAAGACAGGCTCGAGCATAGATATAAAGGAAGGAAGATGGGCTTGTATTGATTTTCAAATGCGCGACGAGAGTTTTAGATTACTAACAGTCTATGCCCCCAATTCGCTGAACCAAAGATCCAGACTAATTGCAGATTTTCTACAGAAATGCGATCCTAATTTACAACTTGTATTGGTAGGGGACTGGAATGCGACATTGGACCCATCTATGGACCGATTCTCAGGTGCAGCTTCAGGGACAACGCAGGCCGCATGGAGTGAAGCTCTGCCCATCCATGAGCTAATGATGGAAAAGGATTTATTAGATCCATTCAGAGTTTTACATCCGAAAAGTAAGGAATGCACTTACCTGAAAAAGAACAGAAACCAGCACATATCAGCTTCCCGAATAGATTACTTCTTGACATCACAATCACTCTTAGGCGCAATCCATAACGCACAGATAGGAGAACTTCCCCCATATCCGGGCCTCGATCACAAACCAATCAGCCTGTCTTAAACTAGGAACAATAACCAACAGAGGGCGAAGCTTCTTCAAAATCAATAATGCACTTCTAAACACACCAGAACTAAGAGACGAATTCATGTTTGCATGTATTAATCATAATTATTCCACCCACGACTTCCTGGATTTGGTCAGGGCACTGACGAATTCTACGGCTAGAGCCTCCACAATAATCGCCTGTAAGAGAAAAGCAAAAGAGGAACAACTACTACATGTAATAGAAGTAGCAGAAAGGAATCTCCTAAGCGACCCAAGGAATATCTTATACGAAAGAGTCTTTGAACAAGCCAGGCATGAGATGTCTGAATGGGAGGAATGGAGAAACAAAGGCTTGAGGATCAGAGCCCGAATGAAGGAGTGGGAAGAAGGAGAGAAAATGACCAAATATTTCTTCGACTAAATCAAGATAAATGCAAGGAATGCAAACATAGAAAAACTGCAGACAAAACAGGGTCCGACATCAAATCCACAACAAATGTTAGCAGCAGCAGCAACCTTCTTTCAAAACCTCTACACATCCAAGGAGTAGGACTACTCTCTCCATGAAATATCGCATGCAAGAACCAAATTTCTGACTCATTTGGATAAGACTATTTCATCAGAACAGGCGACGGCCTTGGATAAACCGATTTCGAAACAGGAGGTCTATGAAGCACTGCAATCTATGAATCCGGACAAGACCCCAGGACTGAACGGTTTATCCAAGGAGTTTTGGGTCTCCTTCTGGCCAGCTCTAGGTACTGAATATCTCCAATTCCTAGAGAAGGCTTGGAATAGAGGGGCACTGGGCAAGCTCCAGAGCACTGGTGTAGTCTCCCTTATCTGTAAAAAAGGCGACACAACAAACATTAGGAACTATAGACCCATCTCATTACTCCTAGTAACATATAAAATTCTAGCTAAATTGCTAGCCAATAGAATTAGGGCTATAACAAGGAACTGCTTCCATATAGACCAGACATGATTTATCCCAGGAAGATTCATCTTAGACAATGCAATGACCCTCAATGAATCAGTCAGATACATTCAAGATAAAAAAAATAAATGCTGCAATACTGTTCTTCGATTTTGAAAAAGCATACGATCAGGTCAATTGGAATTTCTTACAGCAATGCATGGAGAAAATGGGCGTAGGTCCAAACTTCAGAAAATGGGTCAGGATCCTTTACTCGGATGCCCATGGCCTGGTTCATGTCAACGGACACCTGTCACAACCATATCGTATGTCTCGATAGGTGAGACAAGGAGACCCGCTAGCCGCCCCAATCTTCCTCTTCATCATGGAAGCAATTGCCTCTTTCCTAAGAAAAGACCCATCAATCGAAAGGCTGGTACAAGATGCACAACACCAGTCGCCTTACCTACCACCATTCTTTTCACGGATGATTTGACACTCCTAATACGTGCCTCATACTCTTCCTTCCAAGCCCTCACTAGGGCTATGCAAGCCTTCCAAATTGCATCAGAAATGAGAATTAACTTGCCCAAAACAATAGGCTGGTGGCTAACTAACCCACAAACCGCTCCCCCTCAGAGTACTCCGAAAGGAATGAACTGGTCTTTTGGCAACGAACGCCTCAGATTCCGAGGAATCCAAGTATCCAAGTACGACACTAACCAAGCAATGGCACCGACCATAATGAACAAGATGATTGCTAAACTGGTTAGCTGGTCCAATGTCTATACCTCAATTTTTGGTAGAGCCCTGATCCTGAATGCATCAATTTTTGCAATGATGTGGTATGCAACCACAATTTGGAGCCCACCTAGGCAGCATGAAGTTCAACTCAGAAGAAGAGCGGCTGCCTATTTGTGGACAGGAGACCCGTCAAAAGACAAATTCATTCCCAAAGTAGTATGGATGTATGTCACTCTGAAAAGATCACAAGGAGGCTTGGGAATTATGGACCCGAGAACCCAAATCCAAGCCCTTCAAACAAAGCGGATCATGAAAATGATAGCCAATAATAACCTTCCTTGGAGCAAGTTAGGACTGCACAGAATACAACCAACAACCAAATACAAGACCCCTGACAACATGCGTGGACTCTTTTGGATCATGAGTAAGTCCTGGGCTATGAAAGGTGGGGGGCAAGCTAATCACCAGGGGGAACAGGAAGAAGAACAGGAGGAAGATTTTTGGAGGCAACTGTTGAAAGCATGGAGGGAAATACTACCAACCAAAGTAAGAGAACCAACAATTAAAGAAGAAGTTCTCAGGCAACCGATCTTTTGTAACCAAGATCTGTTGGACCCACAATGAAAACCATGGACCCTAACTACAAAGGATACAAAATGGGGGGGGTGGCTAGAAAAAGGAGTTCGGCAAATCAGACATCTTCGGCAGGATTCAGGAAAAGATGGAAAACGATAGGAAAATTAAGAGAAACATTGAGGGGAACCCACAATCTACAAGCCAATCTGAATAACATATTGATTGCAGTACCAGGGAAATGACATGAGCTACTGAAGGGTTCTTGTGAGTGGAGAACAGGGGAGTGGGGAACCCAGCGGTCCAAAAACATCCCCATGCCGCTTATCAGTTCAGATCAAGGGAGGGACCAGGGAACACGTGGTTAGTATGTGACATATACACAATCAAGGACCCGGGATCAACCACAAGCCTCTTAGATGGTAATTCCTAAGGAGAGATAGCCTTTCCAGAACAAGCATTAAGGAACGTAAGAGTGGTAGAATATGACAAACGACGCATATATGAACCTCTACTAGGCATAGCAGAGTTGGAGGTCGATCCAGCGGAATGGGCCTGGAAGAGGAAGTCTGATAGACTAAGAATAGAGAAGCGTAATAACATCCTTGAATATTGTACTAAGCTGGGCTATTCCCTAAGAATGAGATCGGTCTCAATAACCCAGACCATTAACCAAAGATGGGAAAACCGCCTCAATTTACCACCTAACCAAACTCTCATCTCCTCATGGAGTAGACTACTCGCCATCAACCCCGTCAAGATAAGAAGCTTCCAATGATTGTTAGCCTATCGGGCGCTCCCAGTTAACAAATGGTTGAACAAAAGAAGGAACGCCCAGGTGCAATCACCTATGAAAGAACTTTGTTCCATTTGCCAGGAGGGACTGGCAGAGGATATAGAATGCCATAAAGCCAAACAGTTACGGACTCAAGCCTTCCGACTTTGGCTCTTAATCACTAGCAAACCAATGCCATCGGATCGAGTCTCTCTCTTGCTGGGACTACACACTGACAAGGCATGGCAGAGATTCGAAGTTTCTTTTTTCCAAGTTCTAAGGCTGGCGACCTTATGGATGATTTGGAAGGGCAGGTGCCAAGAAACATTGGACCACTCAACTATAGCACCCCAAGAAGCTTGGGAAGGAGCTTGCAAATAGTAGAGGTCGAATATAGAGGAAGACGGAAAAAAACTTGCACGGAAATAGAAGTGAATCTTGCTAAAAAGGACAAAACAATAGAAGCTTTCTTAAAACATCAGTTGGGAGAGGGCAGGATTGCTGAAATAAAAAAGGACAGGCTCCAATTTAATCAATGGCGACTTACTAATCTAGGGAGGTAGGAGATAGACGCCCCTGGAAGCAGAACTCACCTTACGGATATATCATAGTTGCAGCACATGCCGTGCACGGCGTCGCGGCACGTGCGGCGCAGATCGCACCGCGCAGCCCCTACGCGCACAGCATGCGTCACACCGGCCAAACGAGGGCTCGTAAAAAAAAGAAAGTTCGGGGCGGGGGGGGGTCGGAGGCCCGGAGGGGTACCTGTGGAAAATTGTTCGTCTGGAGGGAAAAAAAAAATTCGGGCCGCGCTGCCGCGCGCAGGCCCAAAAACTTTTTTGGGGGGAGGTCTCAGTAGTTCGTTTTTCGAACTAATCAGACCTCCCCCGGGCAGCCTTTGGGCATCCCAACACTGGGTGTATTTGCCCGTTGCCCCATTCTCCTTGGTGGCCGTCTTCTGCTTCCATTCGTCGTCGTCCGTGCCCAGCCATCCCCAGCAGCACCAGCCATCGCTCGAGCAAGAAAGAGGAGGCACCTCGAGCACGCAGCACCAGGGAGCAGCAGACAGCAGCGCGCAGCAGGAGGTACCCGGAGCAGGCAACGGGAGCGAGGAGCAATCACCGAGCCGCTGATGAAGAAAGGGTTGCCACCAACACACTCTCTCTCTCTCCCCCCCCAAAATTCTACCAACCTCGTCGTCTCCGATCTCTCTGTATCAATACTATTACAAATCTCTCTTTCTCTCTCTCTCTCTCGCGCGCGCGTGCGCGTCGCTCTTCCCTCGTCCTTCCTCCGAGCTGGTTCAGAG